AGAAACATTTCTCAGACCTCACAGACATTGCTCCTTCAGTAGGCTGGTTTGAGTTATTGTGCAAATGTACTTTTTATAAGGTTGGGGAAACCTGCAGTCAGCTTAGATGGAAGAAGTCACTTGGATGGGTGACAAAATGTTTCTCCCCCTGAAAACGTTACATCCAGATAAGCAGAATCAACCTTTTGGAACATTTAAGGGGAGAACATTATAAGTGTACATAAGTGTTTGTGTTTCTCCACAGCTGCACACGTGGAGAAACTCTGGCTTCCTGGTATTTTTTTTTTTTTTTTGGTGTAAATAATGACATAACAAGTTTCCTTAGAAACCTCACTTGTTCCATCAAAGAAACTAGTCTGTTATCACAGTGAAAGTGAGTCCTGATAGTGTTGTTTCGTAATCTATCATTGATTACAAAGCAAGTAAGCTCTGTTGACTTTAGTTGGGCAATGCGTCAAACCCAGTTTTTACTTCAGTGCACCATTTCCACTGTAACATTTCCTATCAAATTCTTCTTTAAAAAAAAGATTATAAGCAGAGTTTAAAGTGGGATTTGGAAGTTGGGCAAACGTAGCAGTCCACCGTGGGGTTAAAGAATTATTCATAAATAAGTGACATAATTCATTTGTTCTTTGTGTACAGGCTGTGATCCATTCACCTGTGCTGCTATTCCGAGATTCGCTGCTCTTTGTGGAGTTTTTCACAAGATACGACCAGATATGTCACAAGCTACATGGACGATTTCCAAAACTGTAGATATCCCTAAAGCTAGAATAACAGATAGAATTCAGTGAGCGAATCTAATCAATATCACCTAAAATATAAATGTCTGCTACCCTTGGTGTGCCTCACATCTCCCATGAAAACTACAGCTTGCTCTGTACCACTGCATTACAGAGCATTATTACCACATTGCTATAAACTACCAAATTTACCCTGGATTAAACCGTCCCAGACCGCCTAAAGAAAGACGAATGTCTTGTTGGTTTAGGCGGACTGTGGGATGTCACTGTTTTCTTGTTATTTTGCAAATATCTCTAAGTATGCATTAACAGACCTTTCAGATTTAGGTGCTGGAGTACCGCCCCACAATGTTTTCCATAGAATTAGATATATCATTTGTGGTTGTAGCAAGGTTGTGTGTGTAAAAGGAAGCACAACTACTCTTTCTAAAATGAATCAAGTTCTGGTTAGAGTGATCCACCGGGTTGCAGTGGACCTACAGAGCAGAACAAGGTCTATTACCATGAGCTACAGTCCAAGTTAATGGAGGTAGTTTGCCAGACACTGGGACTCAAGACTCGAGACAGCTGAATGACGCTGAAGACCAGCAGTGACCAGATTTTCATAGTGAGAGCAAAGGGATTTACCAGTAGTAAATCAGCCATGTTTTTGTCTTAGGTGGATGACAAATTAACCAGCCTAGGAGACCATCCAAATGTAGAGTGGGAAAAACAGTTTCATGTGAAAACATTCAGATTTAAGATCGTCCAAATTGTCTAATTTCGTCTTTCTACCCCACTCTCATTTGAATAATTCTGTTTTATCGATATCACCTCAGGGCCATGAGACTTGTCACATACAAACATTTTTAAGGACGTCGCAATTAAAATGTGCAACATTAATCTGCAGGGTAATCTTGTTAAAAGGGAGAAGATTAACCCAGACTGCTCTGCGCTAACACCGAGCCGCTTTAGGTGTTACTGTAACCAGCGAGCAAAAGCAAAATTAAAAGTATCCTAAAACAAAGTCTGAACACAAAACTCCAAAACTGTGTGAAAACTGAGGCCCTGGCTTCTTAAAACAGACCATTAGCTCACAGCATCAAATGTTGCTTCTCACGATGCTACGAATCACCAAAGCTGAAGGACGTCTGATGCTTTTTGTTGCGATGCCTCTAACAAAGCGTCAGCGTGCGATGCTTGGGGATGAAAATGTGTTTCACAATGCATTGCATAAGTATCCGGTGGATGTTTTTTTTACTTAACTTTTCATATATTTCCCAGCATGCATGCTGCTGAAGTCATTATTGTTTTTGTATAAAAATACAACATGACGGGCGGCTATCTGATCAAAACTGAAATCAAGATAGTTTTGCATATCAGCCACTTCCTGACGCCTTCATTTGTGAAGAACTTTGGTTAGAGGGGTCACACTGAGACAATGTTACTGGCAACAACAATCCCAATCTTGTGAAAATCCTGTGATAATAAGAGAGGTTTTAGAGCTTTTATTCAATTAGTAAATATAAAGTTTACAAATGTTTTTTATGTTACGTTAGCTAAGAAAATAAAAACATTGTGAACACTGTATTTCGTTATGTTACATTGCCCAACCCCGGCTGTATTAGTGTCTTTGTGTGTGTGTCTGTGTCTGTGTGTTCTGTATGTATTTCCAGACTTTCCTCACATTCTTCAACAAACTCATATGGTTGATATTTATAGCTCCAATGCTGACGTCACCTTGGCAACCAAAGCTGAGAGGCGGGATTCAAAAACCACAACTACTTTTGTGACACGCAGGCTTGCTTCTCTCTCATAACCACATTTACGCTCTGTTCTTGTACATTTCTTGAACCTGCTAAATGTTTTGTGCACCGTGTGTGTGGGTGTGTCAGTCTTGTCGCGGTCACACGTCAACACTACACAACAAGCTGCATATTTGCTTTTTAACATTAGCAGATTTTTTCTTATTCGGTGCATTAAAACACAACATCCTCACAGCAATGCAGTCCCACATTGAGAAGAGAGAAAAAGCAAAACCTTTCTGGCAAATGGCACCTTGCTTTTGACAAACACCAGCTCTACCATAAGCAAGGCTGTGAGATAGCTGATAACAGTCATCATGACTGTCTCTATGATTCCTACTGCTGCTTATAGAAATGAAGTTGCATAATTTCCTGTGTAACTGACATGATGGTTCCTTCAACTGTACGAGATGTTTCCACATAACATTTTTTAACTTGCATCGAGTTGTTTGTTTAAAATCCTGTCTTTTTAAGAATGTTTCAGCATTTTGAGAGTTTAAATGTCACATCAAACAATATTTAGAAAAAGTGTTAGCGGGCAATGTCAGGAAATGATAAATGGGGGTTCTAAGTATCACACTACTTTGGACTTATGACTTTAAAGTCGAATAAGGTCAAACTTTTGTCTTTAAAATCACACTTAAAGTTCTATTGCATTTGTTTGTATTGGCAAAATTTGAGACACGATACTTGCAAAAAGGGACTCTAAATATTACATTACAGATTTCACAGTTCTAACTTTTGCATTTCACATCTGTTTTTCTTTCAAGTTGACCCCAAAATGCTGTATTTTTACTGCGTTATAAACTTTTTAAGCATGTTTCAAAAGAACAAAGAAAACAAAATGAATATATACAAAATGCAATACTATTCCATTAAAATTTGTTCTCTTGTTACTATTTTTATTTAATATTTATTTATGAGGATTTGATGGAAAATTTTCCATTACCTTGCCAAGGTAATAAAACTTTTCCAAACCTTTCTGGATCTAGATCTGGATCTAGAGCTCCTGACCTAGAATCTAGATCAAGATCGACTTTAAAAGTTAATCATTCCTGAGACGGGCCAAGGCTCTAGTTCAAACCAACCAACCAATCAACCCTTACCCCACCTCTTTGGCAGAGGTAATAATCTTGACTTCTGTAATCATGATTCTCTCTTATAAATATGCAATTAGTTTGGGGATGTTAAATTTATTGAAAAATCTCTAGTGTTTTACCCATACCCTAACCCAACCAACCCAACCAACCGACCAACCCAACCAACCCTACCGACCAACCCTAACCTCAGCTCTTTGGCAGAGGTAATAATCTCGACCTCTGTAATCATGGGTCTCTCTTACAAGTTTGCAATTAGTTTTGGGATGTTAAATTTATTGAAAAATCTCTAGTGTTTTACCCTAATCCAACCAACCAACCCAACCAACCAACCGACCAACCCAACCAACCAACCGACCAACCCTAACCTCAGCTCTTTGGCAGAGGTAATAATCTCGACCTCTGTAATCATGGGTCTCTCTTACAAGTTTGTAATTCAATTTGGGATGTTAAATTTATTGAAACATTCCTAGAGTTTTACACATTTGCTGTTGATCAAATTCTTAAATAATATTAAATCCTAATAATAATTTTCTTTCAGTGAGTTTAAAATTGTGCCATGTGCTCCCACCAGAATTACAAACACCTTTTTGTCGTAGCAGCAAACCCTTTTTAAATCTACATAAATTTCTATGATTTAGTAATGACATATCATTCTTGTTGCATATAAAATTTGTCTATTTATTTTGCACTAAATCCATTTTGACAAGTTACTGGTTTAAAGGGATTTGCGTATCCTCTTACATAATCCATGTGGTTCGGTTCGGCATTTGGCATTAACAGCTACACATGGTGTTCCTAACTTGGCGGAGACAGATACTATGTCCAGATGTGGCTCCTGGCTCTGCCCTCTTCCTGCCCTGAATGAGAAAAGAAGAAGTGGATTTGTGGCGTAAGAGGGGAGTGTCCCCTCTGAGTCAAGCTGCCCAGCATGGGAAACGTATGAAGAGGCCTGATGTAGACCCTGAGCAAGGGGTTTTGGCACAAAAAAGACGTCTTTTCCTTCATTAGATAGCCTAAGAGCTGTGTTTTTTCAGTTTTTTTCCCTATATCGTAACCATTTCCTAACACACCTTCCATTTAGATGTCTAAACCTTTTCTCCCTGGCCTGAAAATTGTTTCCGCTAAGAAACAAAATGCCTTTTAAAGGGCATTTTGAGGAACGATTACCTCATAGAGCACATTACGGGAAAATGCTCTAATGACGGCTGGCAGCAATTCCTACTTTAACAGCACTGACGTTTCAACTCTTAGTTTCCAGGAGAAAGGCAGTAATATATTCAAGAGTGAATTTACTTCCCTGTAAGGGAGATAATTAGTGACTCATTTGTATCTTTTTTAAGCCACATTATGACGTTTTCTCTTGATCTTAACAGATCGGTATGATGGGCAGATAGCAGGAGGAGGAAGAAGAGGAAAAGAAGATGTCATTCTTTGGGCTGGACTGTGTCAGGAAGAAAGAGAGGGGTAAGGTTTGAGCAGGTTTAGTTAATTAATATCAGCGGATCGCCAAAATATTTACAGTCTGTATTTTCACTACTGACATTTCTGAAAAAATAAAATGAAAAACAGTCTCAGCCTAAAGCTTTGGAAGAACTTCCTCTGCAGATTTAGTGTTTTTATAATGGCGTTTAAATAATTCTAATATTTAGAGTTCTAAACATTATTGTTGTTTTATATACAGTGCTTGACAACATTTCGACAGCAACTTTATTTCATTAGCAGAGAAAAACTTGGCAGTAAGTGAAAGCGCCAGAACTTCAGCTGATGACTTGGGATTGTTTTTGTTAGTGTCAGGGAAGCAAAGTAGATATTTTTT